AAAAGCTAGAAGGAGAAAGGTATGTGAAATTGTTATACACACATTTGTGATCTATGTTCAGATATGTTCCCACTATTGGTATTTTGTAGAAAACCAATAGTGGGCAGATATCTGATATCTGAGGTAATTTCGGATTTCCGAGAGCTTCCTCAACTCATTACATTTGCCTTTGTAGAAATTTTAACAGCTTTCCGAGCTTTTAGGAATAGTAGAACCAACACACCTCACGTAGCCGATGTTTGCTAGAACAAGGATAAACGCCAATCCAGCCGCAATAACAAGCATTCTATTTCTGTGCTTCTCTTTATAGTATTCTTGTTCGAGATCCCTAAACCAAAAGAAGATCAACAAATAAGTTTTGCATAACAGGACTAGGAGTTGAATACCTGAAATGACTACTCATCGGAATACGAGATCGAGGACCGAGATATGCTTCATCCCTATCTCTGTTGAGGTCAACAATAGTTCCCTGCTTGAATTTCATATGAGAAGCCTGAAAACGGTTTCAAAGTAAATCAACAACGTGGCGATCGAATACAGCGAGTTGTTCCCATCCTACGTAGCAAATGAGGTGAGTAAAGTTCATCTTTGGGTAACAACTTTCCTCAAAAGAGACAGACTATGAATCCACATATGTTTCTTGACCACCTTCGTTTGCGCTGTTTTTTTGCTGGCCGGCCCGTGCTGATCAGAACGCTTGAAGGCAAAAGTCTGTGCTACTGCTGATTGCTTCTTCGCAGTAAATTTTAAGCACGATAAAAAACGGAACAAGAATGTTCGAGGAAAAAAATTCAAAAGTTGAAAAGAATATTTAACTGCCGAGAAGCGCGCTTTTGCTGTCCTCTTCGCAAAAAAATAAACACCCGTTCTCCATAAATTGCAGGCAGTATTTACGAGTGATAAGTGAAAACTGTACAAGTGATAAGTGAATTGAGTGTCGGCAGATAAGACTGATAAAGTAAAGCAGAAGGCAGCACCGTTTCTGAAAGGTGACCAATTAGGTAAGATTTGACATAAAGTGTTAGCAATCGAGTGAATTTCATTTATTACATAGGGAGTCTTTGGTCATGCTGAAAACGGTGTGCGACTAGTAAATACTGAGAAACAACAATAAAGGCATGTAAGGTAATGTCTTAGAAAATTGTAACTAACATCTTATTCCCTTTTCAACAAGCATTGGCAAGTACGGCCAAACGTACGAACAAACGCTATCCCGACATCATGCGCACTATCACACCGGGACAACATAGAGGCACATCATGCTAGATGAGTCGTGAATTTCAGATGCAGTTGTAGTGAAATATTACCTCATGAAGATGACCAGCTGCATTGACTAAACGACTATCATACTGCGCTCTGCTGGCCGATTTCCGCAAACAGTCGTATGCTTCTTTCACCTAAAACAGACAGTTTCTAAGTTGAAACAAGAAATAGTTCCCGCACAAAGTGTGCAGAGTAAATCGGGAAGTCATGGGAGAATACTACGGAAATAAGCAACAATGAGAATTGTTGACGCTCAGGATTACCATAGTGAAGTAAACACAGATGCTCAAAGAGCGGGTGAAGGTTAGGCCACTACGCCGATGAGCTAGAATTAGGCATCAAGCAATTGACAATACCCCTTGCATTAGCTTCACAAGTATTGTTTGGAAATTGATCTGCTTCATGAGGCGCATTCATAGTCGGTCGTCCGATCGTAACGATCGCAAAGCATTAGGTACATATCGATCGTCTGACGCCCGATACATGCGATGTGTCGCGCTATCGGTGAACATCTACTACTCCACACTAGAACAGTCGGACTTTCGAAATACCGTGACGCGCAGTCACGTGTTGTTGGGTTTGCATTGGGTCACCGCGTCGCCTCCCTTATGCGACCGCGGCTTATGCGATCGTTACAATCGGACGACGACTATGAATGCGCTTTCAGAGATCACTATAGCTCGCGCCATTTAACACCCATAATAATGTGAACCCCGCTTTCGAGTTCACTATTAGTGATTGGGGGACTTCCGTCACGACCCTTGAAGCTGTCGAAAAGCGAATTCCACCCCAATTTCACGCCATAGAAAACCTATGAGTATTCCCACGTTATCTCTATCTCCGAAGGGAGTTCGAGAAAGTGGGAGTAAGGATAAAACAGCTACGAGGGGTAAGGTTAGAGTGGGAAAGAAATACGAAAAATACCGCTTGAGTGAAAAATAGTGCACTCCCACAGCTACAACACTTTCATACAGGAAAAATATTGAAAGATTCAAAAGGTAATGGGTGAATCCACAAATGACCCATGCAAGAAGGAACGAAAACCAAAAGAGTGGCGCTTCATTAAATAGAGAATGTTCCGCTTGAGGTAAAATTAGAAAAGGCAGAACCGGTAATATGAATGTCTCCAAGAAAAATGAATTGATATGTGATTACTGCTGTAGAAACTCACTTCCATAAATGACTCAGTGTCAGAGGTTCGCCTCCATCCCATGCGTCTATCCTTTGACAGCACCTTGCGATCAGGATGGAGCTGAAAATGTTGTGCGCTAAGCTTCAAAAAGAGATTTGGAAACCGCTGCATAAGAGAAATGCATGGTGATAGAATATATGAATATATAAACAAACACCAGAAACGTAAAGCGTTCTCACCACAAGGGTTGTTTCTGCAATGTTTGATTCTGGGACTAGAAGACACTACAACTCACCGTAAGTCCCTTTCCACAGCTGTCAACGAGCGGGAAGATACGTACGTATAACTAATGAAACAGCAGATGCTCTATTTTGACATATTTGAAAAGACAAATAAATAACACAAAAATCTATGCATAATTTTGTGGGAAGTTGAGAAAAACCCGTAAAATGTGACATCCCGTCGGAACGGCTAACTGTCCCCTACACAACAACACGAATTCACAACTTTGTCACCACAACTCTCTAACATCTCAAAGAAGAACCCCCTCTATGTTAAACTTGTCACACTGGACTGTTAACTCTCTGTGTACGTGCGCGCTCATTTTCAAGCAGTGAGTCTTTGATTTGTAAGTCTCAAACCATTAAAAGCATTTTAAAAAGGAAAGTAGAAAGTTGCAAAGCATACAGCCTACTGAGAAAAAATGAGTAAGGATCACCTCGTGCGACTTCTTGACAAATGCTTTCCTGATCTCTTCCTCCGTGGCATTTGGTTCCACACCAAGTATTTCATAATAGTTCGCTTTTCTGAATTAGAGTAATCAATTTCTCCTATAGAAATGTTGTAGAAGCATTTGATATCTTGAGAGTGTTTGCG